TTTCACGCTCAATGCGATCTTCAGGCGACAATGTTTAAATCTCAATAAAAAAATGATTTGCTCTACGTTATTAAATGGTATTGAGCACTCTTTCTACACTGTAAAATTTGATCATCCTTGGTCTCAATAATATTATATATATATATATATATATATATATATATATATATATATATATATATATATATATATATATATATATATATATATATATATATATATATATATAGCTTAAGATTTTGGTTTATGAAACACAAACAGTACTCAATACCATATAGATAGAGCGTAATATAGTTTTTCGTTTTACCTCAAAAAACCACAACAGTCTGTTTCATCCGTATAGGAATCATCAGGTGGTGAATAATTTCGAAATTGTAGGTTGCTTTTATGCTATCGAAAGAATGTGCGAAATGCGTGTAGGCGAAACAATGCTTAGGTGAAACAATGCATGCTTGGGTCATTAGGTTTTGTTAACGACCTTGTTTACTCGAAACCGGTTTTTGTGACGACATTTGCCGAAAATTTCGCTTCTTTTATTGAGTAAATTGTCTTTGTTTATGTCTTTCAAAATGCAAAATTTTTCTTCCAAACATAAATTGCAGCGTTTTGATATATATATATATATATATATATATATATATATATATATATATATATATATATATATATATATATATATATATATATATATATATATATATATATATATATATATATATATATATATATATATATATATATATAGATAAAGATAAAATAAACCTGGTTTACTTCATAAGATTTATTCACTACAAACTTGTTTCGTATGACAAGCAATGCTTGCCACACTCATCAGGTTTTGTAGTGAATAAATCTTATGAAGTAAACCAGGTTTATTTTATCTTTATATATATATATATATATATATATATATATATATATATATATATATATATATATATATATATATATATATATATATATATATATATATATATATATATATATATATATTAAGGTGAAAATGTTCTCGAGTGTGTATTATATAATTTCTATACCAGCGTAAGCAGAAAGATAAAGTCTGCCGCGGCTGGATCTTGAACCCGCGACCTTCGAATTACTAGATCGACATCTAATAGCATAGCATTCAGGTTCATTAGTGACTAAATGTACCCGAAAGCCGAGAGAGGTTTAGTAAACTTTTACTAAACCTCTCGAGGCGGTTGGAGACATTTTGTCACTAATCGACCGTAATGCCATTCCGTTTCACTTTGTAATATCATAGCTACCGAGACAAAACGGTTTCATTCGACTGAATAATTTGAAATGAGAAAGCAAACGCCTTTTTGATACCAATGATTATATTGGACTGTTCGTTAATGAGTTTACGGTTGATTTTTCATGTTTGTTAAATATTTTATTGATTAATCGCATCTCGCAAGAAGGTAGCCATGATATTACATAAATGAGCAAACAAACTAAACTAATTACTGGTCGCTATATTACTGACCCTATATATATATATAATAAATAGTCTTTTCAAGATGCGCGAGAAAACCAGTTAACGCAACATATTTCTTCTTTAGAATTTTGTAGTGACAATGTTGCATCATGTAACAGTGCAGGGACAATTTTTTCATGTGTTGCTGCCTCAGATGCAGCGGCGGGTTGCACTAAAGACGTTGCTGACGGAAAGGCTGATTTGACGCTGGCCAGTGCTGACGATTTGGTGAAATACGGTTAGTCCAAAGGAGTAAAGCTCTCTTGAATCTGTATGAGTTTTAATATAATGTTGGTAGTACACTTCGCCTCTCAACGTCTTGGGTTCGTTTCCCTGTGCATACATTTTCGAGTATAATTTGGTCTCGCTTACATGCATGTAAGAAGTGTTTTCAGTTTGGCTTTACTGATAAACTCTATCAAAAGTCACATGGTTTTTTTGGGAATTACTGTTTTTACCAGTGGTAATGCTGGATAAATTAACAATTAGACTACGAGGCCGTGTGTCTCTCGGAAAGATTCATATTTAAAGGCAGAGTTCAGCTTTTTGATTGATGCATGGTTTTTAAGGCGCATATTAGCCCTTTTAACTGAAAAACCTAACTAGGAAAATCAATTATGCATAATTCAAGATCAGTAATTATAAACTCAATGTTTTTAACAATAAAAATGTTTTAAAATGTTAAACTAAAACATTAAGTCTGCTGATCTTGAATTACGCTCTTAGCAACCGATCCCAAATCATTCATCCGCTAGAGGTTGAATGTTTGCATGTTCATATCTTCGGTTCAGTGCATGCTATGAAGACAGAAGTACCACCATTCGATTCAGAAATAAAAGATTCAACTAATTTGTCACTATAGTTATAGTCATTATCAACATTGTAGCGATTTATGGGTCTTTGAAGTCAAACACGATCATATTGTATCAAATTACGCAATTGTCTGAACAAAAATATAAACTAGCCATACCTTTCGCCGAAAATAACTTCGGTCCCTTCGAACATATCGACTTTGTAATAGTCTTGTTCGAATCCCCATCAAAAACACTATTTAGAGTGCTATTTGCAAGCCTTCCATTTCTTGTCCGACTGTGAGCTCGAAGTGAGTTAATCCCAACCGGAAGTACGACTGAAAACCGTCAAAACAATGCGACGTTTGTATCATATGAC